GTTCTTTTAGTTTATTTTTTTACCTCCGCAACGCTTAAAGGCGTCGTATTTTGTAAAAAAAAAACAGGATAAGGGATGGCTTTGGGTAATTTATGACCGACCATAAATGCCATAAAGGCTGAAGTTGTCGGTGTTTAACGTTTGCAAGCAAGCAAGAGGGTTAGCACTGTAACCTTAAAGTGTTATATTCTGTGTTGAGCCGTTCACCGGTCCATTTTGCAAAAGTCGTTCCTAGTTATCGAAATCGGTACCAAACTTTTTGTACAAATCGCACTCACTTCTTGCTATTACTTAGCTTGCCATATTTTAACTTCTTTCAGGGTCCTCTCGTATTTTTAGAGCAAGCCCTAATCAGATTTGCCCTTGGGATGCTCTACGAGCGCGGCTACACCGCTTTGTACACACCTTTCTTCATGCGGAAAGAGATTATGCAGGAAGTTGCTCAACTGAGCCAGTTTGACGAAGAACTTTACAAAGTTGTCGGCAAACGGGAGGATCCTGACGCTCCCAGTGACGCTCCTGAAGAAGAAAAATATCTGATCGCTACATCTGAGCAAACAATTGCTGCTTTCCACCGCGATGAGTGGCTTGCGCCCTCATCTCTCCCAATCTGCTACGCTGGTATTTCAACTTGCTTCCGCCAGGAAGTTGGTAGTCATGGTCGTGATACGCGCGGAATATTCCGTGTTCACCAGTTTGAAAAGGTAAGTGCTCTCCGTTTTGTTTTCTAACTTTCCTACTTCACTATATTTTCGCGTTCAGTGGATTTATATCCCTGTTTGATTCCAATTAGTTCCCACTTGTAGTGTGTTCTGCGTTGCTAATTATTTGGTAAATTGGCTTATTGATATTTTCGCTAAAATCTCAGTACCATTGTTTCCCGTTGTCTCCTATGATGCATTTGGGTACGAATCCAAAACGTCCGGCGAAAAAAGATTCTTCTTTCAGCACTCGAGCCTTCTTCAACTCATAGGCAGGTGTGCCTTGCTGCCAAAATCAGGTACGGCCGAAATAAAAGAAAATGTCGTGCTCCTGACGCGACAACTGTCCTGGCTTGCATAATATGTATCATTTATGGGACTGAAATAAGTTTTTGTTCCATGGTGGCCTTGCAGCAAATTATTATATCTGCAAGCCTCAATAAGAGGGCAGACAATATTTATAATCTTGAAGGGAATTTAATATCCGAAACGAGAGCAGATCAAGGTCACTATTGTGGATCAGGCAACAGGCTACCGTTACGGAGACTTGCATGGTCGTTTCCGTTTTTTTTTCAGGTTGAAGAATAAAGTCACTTCTCTGCTTAGTAACTTTCAGTCATAAAAACGAAAAGGATGTATGTATAACTGTACTACCAGGATAGGGAAACTTTTAGTTATCATCGTGCCTACTTGCAAAAATTTTGAGTTACGAATGGCGGTTCGGAAGGTAACTGGTGAAACAGAAATAAATACGAAAATCGGCTTTGTAGTTTCTGCATAGTCGCCAGAAAACTTGTCGAGTGCATACTTGATGGACACAGAGAACTCATTTAGTATTTCTGATATTCCCTCTGCTCTCTAGCTTTATTCAAGCAACCCTTAAGTTATTTGATGTTTCACGAATCTGCTGGAAAGATTTAACTAATTTCTTTATGCCAAACAATCGCAATTTTAGGTTGAACAATTTTGCCTGACCTCACCACATGACAACGAGTCATGGAATATGTTCCACAAGATGATCGAGACGGCCGAAGCGTTCTATAAGGTATGTTACAGATGCACCATGCCATTGGATAATACATTTTTTGTGTGCTTGCGTCTGGTTTCGGAATTATGACAGTTCATCATATTAAAGCTGGCGGAAGTAGGAATTCTGCCTCTCTAGTTGCCTGTTAGGGCATGCATCTAGAGGGGGTTTCTTGTTCTAAAAATGGGCTGAAAACTAAGCCAAGGCACATACACAGGTAGGCAGTGGTGGCTCCCCGTGCCTCTAAAATTTCCAATACTTCATTATTTAACTGTTTCTGCGGAAGGCAATAAACAGTACTGAATTTGTAGCCGTTGCCAGCTTAAAGGAGATTACGGAATTGGAAAGCATTATCTCGCTTCGGTTTGTACTGGTTAATCCTCGCGCACGCTTAACCCAACATCGTTTCAAGTCTTCCAGAGGCAACGTCTGATCCGAGTATTAATTACTGGCTGGATGGTGCCGCAGACTTGCTGGCCCGCGGGTTCGAAATTTATAGCTTCAGATGATATAAACTGTAGTTCCAGCCTGTCTCGGAATTAATCCTACTTACCAAAAAAGGAACATGAATTCTGTCTTACGTGGTGTAGTTCACATGGCGCCCGCATTTTTCATCACAAATCTCTGATCGGTTCTTCACAGACTTTGGTTAACGTGACAACTGTTGGTTTGAAAAGTACGGGCTGTTAGCAGGTTGACCGTTGCTTTTCAGTGCCTTTCAAAATTGAACTGGTGAAATTAAGCATCAAAAGATCAATAAAATGGGCTTTTATGATGAACACATTTCAACGGAATTTGTCGTAGCCGCAGTTCTCGTTTTGTCCTCTTTAAGTTCTTTTTAAGATTGTTTGGCCTTCCTATAAGATATAAATTGTGGGGCTGAACGCGTGTGCGTACAAAAACTTGCATGCTTCTTTTCCTCCCCTTCGCAAAGTTTCAATTTGAATTAATTTTTTACTTTCATTTAGCTGACTTTGAGCGTATTTCTTAAACGCTGCAACATAGACGACTCGCTTCTTTGTCAAACACTCCACACCACAATGATCCTTTAATTTGCAGGCCCTGGGTTTACCCTACCACATCGTGTCAATTGTGTCCGGTGAGCTTAACAACGCTGCTGCGATGAAATATGACCTGGAGGGTTGGTATCCGGGTTCCAAGGCCTTCAGAGAGCTGGTATCATGCAGCAACTGCACGGACTACCAAGCCCGTCGCCTGGCTGTACGATATGGCCAGACTAAGAAGATGGACAAGGAGGTTAGCTTCGTTATTTTAACCATCCCCACGCACTCAAGTTCTCTAACTGTTCTAGGTTATGCTTTGACTTTT